TACCGAAACGCCAGTGGCTCGGGTCTTTGTTCGGCAATCATATCTTTCTCAGAAACTGTCTCTCATGGCTATCGCATTGTAGTTATGGCCATGTTTGCGGTCCTCAGGATGGGGTGGTGTTGCTCCCGTGGCTGCCGCAAGCAGCCTCTGAACATCGAACCTTTCCGCCCTTAGACTTATGGCTCATCTGTTGGACTTTGCCAGAGTTGCTGCTCATGTTCTGGCGAAGAAGGCGTTCAGTGTCATTGCAGACCCGGAAGCTACCGCCAAAGCCAAGCTGTCTGAGCTGCACCAAACCCATCAAAAACCCACAGCTGCAAGCTGCTCCAAGCCTTTCGCCGCCCTGCAGGCAGCTGCAGAGCAGGAGCCGGCTCCTGGTAAAAAGCCTGGGCACCCAGCCTGGAGGGCTTGGGGTTTCCGTAGCTCTCCGAGCTGGGTGGTCCGAGCAAAGACGCGAGTGCCGCGCCACGCCTCCTTCAAGAAAAAACAGCAAAACAGGCAGTACTGAATCTGAAGAACGTCTTGGGCTGATGTATCGAGGTCTGCAAAACGCCCTTGCAGCCCGCAAACCCTCTGCTATTCGTTTGGGTCAGTGCCCTGAGAGATATTAATCTCGATCTCGGAGTCTTCTGGTACCAGGGCCAACAAGCATACTTTGCAATCCGGCTTGCAGGGACAAGCCTCACATGCATGCCTGTGATCTGCAACTACATAGGCTACGACAAGAAGGTTTCAACACAACAACCTGCTTCTTGAACCCCAACGCAAGACCGCGAGCATGTAAAGTCACACAACTCTGGGCCTTTTCCCAGGCCACGCGTGCCGGTCGAGTGACTCCCCTGCCTGGATGACACTGCATTGTCAGACTGTGTGTGTCCGGTGTGGAAATCGTTTGCATGGGGCCGGAAGACGTGCTCAAGCGAGGTACACCCCGGCCACTGTCGAGGCTTCAACGGGCCTGGGGGCATGAGTTCATGTGGAGAGGTTTCGACAAGCATAGGCATCTTGACAGCCTGTTTAAAAACACATCTTTAATTTTGGAGTAGGCACGAATCTTCAGCAGCTTGGCACAAGCCACCTGGATCGGAGAGTCGACGTAGGTTGACTGTTTGACTCGATGAAAGCCCAAAGTGCTTCCGCGATCCGAGGTGCATGCAACAGCATGCGAAAAGACAAGACAAGAGAATGCACCCCAAACCCCAGAGCCCTGAAGCCCATCTCCTACAGTCTTAAACTAAAGACCTGCAAGATCCGTCAAGAAGAGAGGAATACAAGCAGCGCTTCGGCGGCAACGCCGAGTACTCCGAGCTCGGGTGGCGCGCTTGGCGATGGGGTTCTGCATGCAGTTGTAAGTGCCAGAGAAAGGTGCACAAACCCAGGACATAACAGTGCTGATACTAATATCTTTTCCGTTTTCACGTGCAATATCCACGACAATCACACTAACCACACAATATCGAACGTGGCGATCGTTGTAATCATCAACTTGCTTCCCGGGACAAGCAGGATGGAACAATCAGCAGGCACAGAAGTGACTGTCGCCCTCATTGTGAGGATGCGAAGTGAGGGAGCGCAGCGTTAGGTTTTTGCGCTGGACTACTGACATATCGAGGGCATGGGCTGTTGGGGCGAGGCTAAAACATGGTATACTCGAGGGTGGGGAGGATCTCGTGTCTTTGTTGAGAGGTCTGTTTTGTATTCCGGCGACTGGTCCACGGGAACTAGACCGCTGACGAAACGAACGTGCTCAGGCATCTGGGACCTGATCTCGACGACGAAGGGCACCTTGACTCTGTGAGGGTTGAGGGACTGAGTCGGCGTTTGGCCCGGGCAGTTCGTGACTTCAAGTTCATTGTTTCGGCAACGCGACAGCATGAAGATGTTGCGGTTTGGATGCCCCTAGGCGAAGTTCTATCGGACCATTTTCTGGACATCACCCCTGGTTCATCCGTCGCCGTTCTGTCAGCCGAGGCTGCTGATGAAGCGGGCGATCCAGGAAAAGGCGGCGTTGTAAGGATGAGACCAAGCCTTGCGACCTGATAGACTACCCACTGTTGCGACTGCCTCTTTCGTTACTTTAGACACCTGCTTCGCATGGTCTACAGTTTGCAAGGCTTCTCCCAGCAGAAACGCCAAAGTGGTGGTCGACATCAGAGTAGACCCGAAGAGCAAGCGGAATCAGAGATCAGCCACCATGAGACATACAGAGTTGCAACAGACCCCCCCTCCCTTTTGCCTCGCTTGATCCTTTACCCGACGTTTCCGCTCAAGCTTCGCCTCGCAGAGTTCAGGGTTTATTTCGCCTTTGGGGCTGAGGGCTCCGGGCTTGAGTTTGAGGGCGTTCCCGTCGCTTCGGTTAGGTGCCTCAATAATTAGCTAGTGATTAGTAACACAAGTCTTTAGGGCTTCCGGATTTCTAGTGTAATTAGAACTGTAGAGCTCTCCGCTGCAACTCAAGTCTTTCCCTACGTCAAAATTTTTGGATGCCTGCTTCGAGCGATGTGTGCGAGTCTCACATGATGACGTATCATATAGAACCCGCTGTATGATGGCTGTCTCCAAGCCGGAGGTGAAGCAGTTCAGTAGGGAGCTCCACCGCGTGAACAAGCAGAGAGCAGATCGGGCCCCGCTGCCTGGGCCTCAGCCCCGGTTTTTTACACAACACGGCTAAACATAACATGGAGATTGATGGATGGGTCTTCTGGGCATAGTGTAAGGTATGTAGCGATCTGTTAGGGTCACTATAGTTTTCAGCAGGTGATTGCAAGGTCCCAACAGGGTGTTTATAACGGGTTTATTCCGGGGTCTTTCAGGTCCCTATAGGGTGTTTATAGAGTGTTTTGATCAAAGGTTCAACGGCTGTGTCGTCAGATTATTGATCCTGCCATTTGGGGCATGTGGTCTGTTATTGTCGCTGCCATATGACGGGAGCATACCGCGAATAAGATGTTGGACCCTCTGCAATTGAAACGATGTGTCCTTGTTAAAGGGGCAATGCTTGGGCTTGTTGGCACGTGCTACAAATTTTCAATTCTAATTGTGCTGCGTTTGTTGATGATTACTTCTGGCCTGTGTTGCTATATCACCGTCTACATGATGAGTCCCAGGCTTACGTATTACGGCACGCCATGGGAACTGCGAGCATTCATCATAAGTGGTCGTAGGACTCCGGTAAGAGCTCCGGGCTCAATTTTCCAAGACTAAGACCCAGACAGCAACCTGTGTGCTGCTCAAAGATGTCAAGACATGGCGATGTAGACCGTGCTTGCTTAGTCTTACTTCCGACTCTTGCATGATCCAGAGAAGCAGGAGCAGGATTTGTGTGTTTCTGAAGGCCCCAAAGCGGATCCTGCATGCATGCATGCACACACACACACACATCCAACACATGTAGAGACGAGGCACTGTTTGGCTTCAAAGGGGCTTAAGAAGTAGAATAGCTGTGTACACTATGTAGGAGCTACAGGGAGATGTTCCGGCTTCTTACTCAGACGTGTTTCACACATCCTCGTCCACGTCCTATGCCCAGTGTCACAACCCTGCCTGCGGCGTTTAAGGTTTAACGTTTGCATGGAAGATGGTTTAGGGTTCAGTATCGAGTCTAAATTATTACAACGAGTATCACAGTAAGTACAGTCTCCCTCCCTAGTACAATACATCCCAGAACTTGCAAAATACATGTTTAAGGCCTCAACCCTAGACTCTAAACCCTAAAACCCTAAACCCTAACCCCCAAAGCCTAAACCTTCTGCCAGGGCTTACGGGTTTTCGAGGCCAAAGCAGCCACAGCCCAAGCCGGAACCCAAATCCACAGCTCGGGCGAAGGCGCGAGAGGTTAGGGCCGTTGAGGGCTTCGGAACCTGTTTTAGGTTTGGGGTTTAGGGCCCCTGGCAGCACAGTCGGCGCCTCGGTTCCTGGCATATGCATAGTCCAGGTGTAAAATCCCTGACTCAGGGTTTACGGACCTGTTAAGGTGTTGAGTGAGAAATCGAAATCCAAGGTAAGGAAAGATACGACCACAATGTACATGTACGTGTGCGTGTCTGTCTGTAGAATGATGTGTATATATATATATATGTATATATATATATACACACTACTTATTTATATGTATAACGTTGATGTTTGTATGTAGGTTTGTATTTTGATTGTAACTTAGCTTTAGGTCTTGCTCGTAGTTGACAGGGCAACTTTGGATGCCACAGCTGTCGACGCCTTTGGTTTTGAGAACTGCTTTCTACTATAGGGGCCTTAATAATTACCTCTTACCTCTACTATTTTGGGGGGTCCCTTCTTATAAGTATAGTAGAATATACCCCAAAACCCTATTCTGATGAGCAAGGCCCCGAAACCCTAAACCCTTATAGAACCCCTTTAAGGAACCCTTTAAAGGAACCCCCAAACCCTATTCTAATTATTTTAGACGCTTCGTGTCGTCCGCCTCGGCCCGGCTTCTGGCTTCTAGTCACCCCACAGATCCGCCAAGAAGCCAAGATCGCCAAACCCTGCAATCCGGTTTAGGGTTTAGGGTTTAGGGGTTTAGGGGTTTAGGGGTTTAGGGGTCTAGGGTTAGGGTTGAGGGGTTAGAGGTTTAGGGTTAGGGTTTACCTGAAACCCTGAACGATCCGGAACGCCTTCATCTAAATCCTAGTGTTTCTGCCGGCCTCGAAGTTGACGTGCCTTTCAGCGAGCCGTTTTGGGTTCGAGTGTCCCTGAGCTGCCACTTAGGCGGCTATGTGTGTGTATGTAGTATATATATATATATACTCTATATATATATATACACACTATATATATATATATACATACGTACACATAATTTAGTGTACACAGATACATACAAAAAGTAAGTACGGTTTAGGGTATCAAAATTTGAGCTTCGACGGTGCAGGGCTTGTTGAGGATCTATCGCTTGAAGAACCGAGAATGTCGGGTTGTAGAGCTCGGAGCCTTAGGAGTTCGTGGTTTGCTCGGGGGCCGGAACCGTTTCCGTCCTCCGCATGTCCGGGTCGGCACCGCGCGGATGGCTTCCGACGAGTCCGACGGATGAGGCCGCAGGGAATTGAAAGGGGTCTAAGTTGCTCAGAGTTAGCTGGGACCTTCCAGGCCAGAGACATCGCAAACAAGGGTGTCCGAAGTCTAGCTTGGTGTCGCTGAGAGGCACGAGGTTTTGTCGTGTTTACATGTGTCCATCTGCACGGACACCTGAATAGTTGTTTTGCTAGAATCCAAGTTCGCGATGTCGTTGCCTGCGGAGTTTGCGGCCAGCCCTCAACTTATCAATTCGCGCGTTCAGGAAAGCACCCCCTCAGCAGCCCGACCAAGATTGTCCACTATTGGTCGTATCTGACGCATTGCATTGAACTTAGCAGGGTTATGCGAACTCTCCCGCAGTAGCTCCTGCACTGTACATGACCCTTCCATGACACTCCCATGACCTCCCCCCATATACTGCTTACATCCTCCCCCATGTAAGTAGGTACATCCGTCTGCCATAACTCCCCCCCCACCACAACTCCTCCCCTGGAGATTTCCCTGACTGCAGGCCTTCAGTCCCTTGGGCAGTTTTATCATTGAACCCCAAACCCGAAGCTTGCCCGAAGCCTTCAGGCCTACCAAAACCCAAAACCCAGTACGTTTCCAGTTATTTGGCAGGCAACCCGGAAGCTCTACATTCCCCCCTCAAACGCCCTGAATCCAGCAACCCCCCGGAACCTCAAAGCCACTAAACTAAAGCCGAGAAAAACATCCAGCCCGTTCCTGAGCTCCATAACACTGGCAGGCAAAGGAGCTTTTACTAGGGTTTATAGGGCTTAGGGTTTAGGGAATATATTGCAATGTACGGTTTATCTACTGTACACTATACTACAACGTATTACAATAGATTCAATAGATGATAGCTGTGTCTCGAGGAGCTCCGCATGGCACTCGAACCCTTCCGCTCCCGCATTCGCGCCAACCCTCGTGCGGCATCCAAACTCCTCCGAGAGGCGCATCTGCTGGTGGTTACGGGGTGAAGGCAGGGTTTCGTATTTACGGGCATATAAGGTTTTTGGGCATGTAGGAACTCATAAGTGTCCACTTCGGTCATAGTTTACACATTGAGTGGCCGGAAGATAGGGTATCCGGACTACTCTTGGACTCTTGGCTCTCAAGTTGGTGTCGGGTGTTCGGACTTGGTAGGGCCTTTGCTGGAAATTTTGCAGCTTTCAGTGACTAGTACTGCTTGTGCCGCTCAGTGGTCATGTACCAATGTATCTATGCCATCAGGGTTCTAGCTTCCAAGGTTGGCTCGCAGTTGAGAGGGTTGAGCTCACTGGAGTCGGAGAGGAACGAGGGCCTTGGCGGTATTCTGTGGGGTTCCGGGATGCCGAATGCTTCCAAGTCAAGAGGCACCCGCCGCCGTCGCAGGACAGATGCTGGAGGAGCCCCGCAACCATTTGTTTTCCCGGGTTTTTAGTACGCTGGCGGTTATTGTGTTTAGTCGTTGCTTGGGCTATTGACATTGTCCTGACTGCACATTTCGGTTGCTGTCTTCCAGGCCTTGTGACACGCTTTACTTTCCTGGGCCCTCAAACTCCCACCTTCAGATCCGGGAGCTGGATTAGTCTTCTTGGGCATAGGGGCATGATTCTGGGATCTGTTCTGCTTGGAGCCTGCCCGAAACCTTGAGCCTATTCCTGCAGGGGTGGGGGGGAGGCAAACTACGATGCAAACCCCACGTGGTTGTTTCAAACGAATCATGGACCATGCCCACTCATGCCCAGTCCAACATGCATGTCATATGCAGTGACCACGTATATACAGACACGCAAGAAGAGCAGCAACTAAGTACCACGCCTCAAAACATCACCAACTGCAGTGCCGCAACAACACAGTTTACTCAGGGGGCAATCAGTTGCGGTACTCGTTGCTTCACTCGGCGAAGGGTTTCTCGACCTTCAGCGCATGGCCAAACGTCCAACTCTGCAAGCTGCTGGATAATTGAATGCTTTCCAGGCTCCAGTCGAACACACAGCCAAACGTCAGTCTCTGCAGACTGCTGGGCAGCTGAATGCCCTCCAGGCTCTGGTTGATCGCAACGCCAAACGTCAAACTTAGTTTGCGCCACGCGTGTCGTCGGACCTACGTTTGTCAACAGCTGTCAGTTCGATGATCCAGATGCCGTCGCCTGACGAACCTCCGTTCTGCTCGATGATGCACGGCTGGAAAGCCGGCATCTTTTTGAGGCCAGTCGCAAACTCCTCTGCCGTGCCTTGATCTTTTGGCTTCTCGGCCACCCCCGTTCCCCCTTGGGGCCATGGCGTGGAGGCTTGGGGCTACAGCAATCAGGCCTACATACATAGATACATACATGCACGCATACATATAACATATAATTAAACAGGCATACACCTCCACCAAATCAGCGCCCACACCCAGCATGCTGAAGCGAAAGTGAGGGCTTCACGTGCCACCAGGAGTTGCGAGGAATGCGGCTGAGGGCGGATGCATTCCATTACTTCGCAGTCATGAAGGCGCCCTTGTTGACAAGCTAGCAGGCCTGGGCCAGAAGGCTTCGCGATTCAAGACTCGACCGTTATGAGGCGATGATGCAATTGAGAGTTTCGGTGAGTGTTACCAGTGTTCGGTAGGTGTATATTAAAAATGTTCTTTCAGGAGAGCAGCAGTACAGCCTACCATATCATGGCATGAAACGTTGATAAGACATTATCGAAACCTTATGAAGCCATGTAAACAAGGTCCACATGGTATCCCCCCCCTTGCCCGACAGCAGCTGGATCTGCATAAAAAAGGTGTCTTGCAGCTTGTGCGCCATCTTCTAGACATCCACAGTACCTTGCAGTCGGATAGCCGAGGCATTGGTCTGGTCCTGAATCGAACCTGAATCTTAACACAGCCTCATCGTCGCTCTGTCAGGCCAACCGTCGTGCTGGGCGGTGGCAGCAACTTGCTGATTCCAACTAGAATATGTCGGACACCGCCGCCATACAGACACATCAACCTCACCATCTCGATAGCGTCATTCGTATATAGTTTGGCTTTCGTACACGGATCCTTCAGACAGAGCACCAGCAGATGAACGTGGATGAGGGCTTGAGGCTTAGGGTCGAGCTGCGTTCCTGTCCAGGTGTCGGACCAAATCTAGATTGCATACATCATTCGATCTGCGAGTTTTTCGGGCGGAGCTTCTGTGGTTTAACATGTTTTGACATTGAGTGAGTGAGTGAGTGAGTGAGTGAGTGAGTGGATGGCCTGGGGTGCACTCCGGCCGAACGGAAACGTTCCCTCCCGCCGTCTCTTCCCCCCTCCGTTTTCGTCATCGGGGAGATCCTGCAAGAGTTCGACGCTCCGAGCCCCTCAACCCAAGCAGGGAAAAGTGCCACCCGAACCTCCATGGGCCCGCCCACCCAAGCTGCGAGGCTTGGG